ATTTGATTGGCTGTTTATAGTAGATCCAATCTGATTGGTGTGACATACATACATCTCTCACTTACTCACTGACTCACTGACTCACTCACTGATCCATTGACCTGTCCATAACATACCCGACGCGCCGACTAAGAGGTATTTTTTTGTAAAAAAAATAAATGGCCACCCAGTGAAGCAGGTATCATCTATGAAATCTCTTAGTGTGCACATCGACCAAAATATAAATTGGGAATGTCATATACAGAACATTTGCAGAAAGATTGCTTCTGCATTGGGTGCAATCAAGCGAATGCGACATCTTATACCCTGTAATGTATTAATTAATGTATGTGATAGCCTAGTTCAACCATATTTTAATTACTGTAGTGTTGTCTGGGGTAACTGTGACAGTGGTTTCTCTGAAAAGCTTCAGAACCTCCAAAATCATGCAGCCCGTATTTTAATATGTGCCAATTATATCAAAGATTTGAATCAGCTGCTGTTATGATGTACAAATCTCTACATGGGGTGACCCCTGTGTTGTGTTTGTGTTTCGAAACAATACAACATCATAGCGATTAAAGAATACTGAAAATAAATTGGCTCTTCCGCAGCCCCGCACCAATTATTTGAAGAAGAGTTTCTCTTACAGAAGAGCCAGGTTGTGGAACAGCCTATCCAGTGACCTTCATGCAGCTGCATCTTTACAGTTTAGCAGTCGGTCGCAGTGAACGGTATCATAACCAACAACACTGACCTCCTTATTGGCGATAATATCATGTAATCAAGTTTCATTGATTGCCAACAAGTCGAGGCATTTACTAGGCAAAATGATGCAAAGCCCATCAATATGTCTCAGAAGACAAGTGATGTCTAAGCAGGCCATTTTAAAGCCATGTTTGTTAGGAATCAATGTTTGAGAATTTAAAGAAAAGCTATTACAAGGGGCAGAATGGGCATGAGAAAGAGGGGTTCGAAGGAGATCCTTCAAGATCTGCGCAAGTCGCTTGTCATGGGTTTTTTATATGAGAAACAAGATTTTTAACTAATAGCTTTGTACCTTGTTCAAATGCAGTCCACTAGCGTTGAGATGCTCTCTGTTGATGTTAGAATGAGAGATTGTTCTCCATGCATATTTTGTTGACGTGCATTTGTATTAATAGCTTTTGGTTTCTTTTTCTTTTTCTTCCAATTGCTAACCTCAGTCCATTCATTTTCTCTGGTAGTACACAAGAAATAGATTTTCCTTGATTGAACTGCCGAAAATGGACTTGGAGTTTGGCCGTCGGAGTTTTTCGTTTTTAGGGGCTTCAATTTTTAACAGTTTACCGGCGGACAAAAGAACTCTGAACTCTAGGCTTTTATTTAGGCAAAAGGCCAACGAACATTTTTATGTGTAATTTTTAATCATGAGTTTTTATATGTTTCCCAATGTACTAGTTTTGCCTTTTTAACTTTTTACCTTTTTTAAATTTTTAAATTTTTAAATCTTACAGGACCTCTTTGATAACAGTACTTGATAGTACTGATGGGTTAATCCTGTCTAAAGATTCATTTATTAGTATTATTATTATTATTATTGTTATTATTATTATTATTATTATTATTAATCACTAGTTATAGTGGGTATAAGGGTATGAGGGTATAAGGGGTATAAGGGTATAATGGGTAAAAGGGTATAAGGGGTATAAGAAGTATAAGGGTATAAGGGATATAAGGGTATAAGGGGTAAAAGGGTGTAAGGGTGTACAGTCAAACCTCGATTATCCAGACCTCGATTATCCGGACTATTCGATTATCCGGACTTTTTTCTCT